TCTATGACTCTATGATTCTATGATTCTATACTGGTATAACACCAGACACATATGAAGAGCTTTCCTCCTACAGCCTGATGCAAGAATGATTTTTGGGCCAGAGATACATTTGAACTAGAGTTTAAAAAAAATTTCAGCATGACAAGGGAAAGATCAGGACCCTACTGTCACAGTTTCCACATTCTCTAGAACCTCTCTAAATATACTTTAAAAAAACTTTTTCTCTACACAACTGGAAGACGACTTTGTTGGAATTCCAAGCATCTACACAATGCTCTACAATCAAATACAATAATACGAGATGTTCCTTTGGAGCAAAGGAAACTCTACCCAATTAGCTGAACAGGAGATGAGGATCTGAAAACATATCTGGTCTCCCATAGGCAATATCAAAGAGCACTGCTCACCAGACAAGAGGAAATCTACATGTAAAATCAATTAACACTTACCCTCAGCTGCCATTCCACCAAGTCTGTTCCAGTGATCATCTCTGTAACTGGGTGCTCTACTTGCAGTCTGGTATTCATCTCCATGAAGTAAAAATTATGTTGGGAGTCCATAATAAATTCTACTGTTCCTGAAGTATTTAATAAAAGGGCACTTCACCAAAACAAGACTTTTTCAGAATGGACAGCTAAGACACTTAATTGATTTATGCCAGGACAAGACTATGATTTCTAAACCAGATACACTGAATTTCATTAAATTCTATACAAATTATCTTAAAGGGTCACACAACTGAGGTCTGAAAACAGAATGGTTGTTTCCTTACTCATTTACGTATCCTGTGCTATTTAGTAGCCATTCTCCTCTACAGTAAGAGCTGCAGTTTGTTAGAGCTGTAAAAAGTGCATCAAGACTCTTTCAAGTATTGTGTGTATATATATAGGCCGTGTAATTATTTTTTTAAAACAAGTAGCCAAAGAAAGCAGTGAGAAAAGTCACAAATAATTTTAGCAGGTTATTTTTCATCTGGAAATAGTGTGGACTTTACAGATAGTGAGTTATTTGTTTGGGTTTGCGGGGTTTTTTTTCCCCAAAGGCTTTACTTTTTGAATATGAAGTATTATTCTTTGTATACTGAAAGAGAAACTATTTTTCCCTTGCTCTGCTCAAACTTACTGATATTCATAATGCTCGCTTTCCAACAATAATCCAGTTGATTGAATTATCTGCTCTGAAATTTTTTTTTGCTATTCTTCAGCTGCCACTGGCCTTGAGCTCAGGTATGCTAGTTTAAATTTGTAATTTCATCAGTATTAACCATGTGATTACTTGCTTAAACCTCAAAAAAAATTAGGGGCTGTGTGCCATACTCTAAAACAATCAGATGCCATTTGCCTAGGCTTAAAGTCTTACTAAGTTAAAAGCATAACTCTGGAGCAGCCATACCTCCAGACTTACCTGCTCCCACATAATTCACTGCTTTAGCTGCTTTGACAGCAGCTTCTCCAAGTCTCTTTCGAACTTCAGGATTAATTCCTGGCTGTAAATAATAATAATACAGAAGATTATAAATTATTGTGAATTTTGGTGATATTAAACCTACTATGCATTAATATTTTGCAGTATTTAGTTTTTTATCCTTACCAATGCTATACTTGAAATCTACATAATTTTTCCCTGAGAATCATTTTCTAAAGAAAGTAATTTTCCAATTAGAACATTTTCTGCAGCAAAATTAGAACAGGTACTGAGAATTACAAACAAATCATTACCTGCTAAAGAAATTTGATGCAAGTTAGCAATTACTTTAAAAATATGTCAGTTCATAAAAAAATATTATAAGAACTTTCTCCTCACCCCTGGTGCCTCTTCAATGATCTTCTGATGTCTTCTTTGCACACTGCAGTCTCTTTCAAACAAATAGACTGCATTGCCATGCTGGTCACCAAACACTTGGACTTCAACATGCCTGTTTCGTAATAATAAATGTTTCAACGTATTTCAGTAAAGCCCCAATCCTGTGATTGACTTCACCCAAACAGACTTTGAACTCCTACACAGTCCTCTACACTTCAGCTGGACTTCTTATAGGTTTAAGTGTCTGCCCTCAAATAGCCAAGAATGTAGAAATGAGGCTGCTATTACGCAGGATTTCAACCATTTTAGACTTTCTCAGTCTCCTAAATGAAATAGGATTCTAAATGCCAGCTACTGCAGGAAAACCTCATAGGCCATGAGATAAACAAGATACATATCTAGAGGCTACTATCTCTTTATTAATTATTTTATTATAATAAAAGTAAAACCACTTCACTATTATTTGATAATTATGATTTCCTTCATCATTTACCATGTAGCAATTCACAAGAGGCAAAAGCCCTGGCTCAGGAATAACATTGTTTATTTCAACATGCCATTTCAGAGGACAACTATTAGGTGGCAGAACTTCATTCTATGTATAAAATGAAAAAAATCTGTCTCCATTCTGATAATCCTCTGATGACAGCAAAAGAAATTCCCCAGGAATTTAATGAGATTTTTCTCATGCCCATCTGACAGCATAAGTAGGCCCTCAGTCTCTTCAGAATAAACGCTTTCTTCATAGTGAAGCTTCAAGAAAAACAGATGGAAAGTACAGAGTATCAAATAGACCTCTGTGAGAAGTTCTTTATAAAAAATAAATTAGCTCAGTTTCACAGGTCAGGCATGAGCTAGACTATCACTTCTGTGTTAAATATCAAAATAGTGAAAGATTAAATAACTAGTTTAGGATACCTCAGGGCAGCAGAAACACCATGACAGCTTGACTCAGCTCTGTAGTTTAAGTATTATAAAGTGATTTTTTTTCTAGATGTACATTGAGCTTAGAAAGCTCACTCAAGGAGGAATATCAATGTCATTAAACATCACTGCCATGTCTCCCAAACAGCGGTATTTTAATTCTTCTAATTCAAAACAAAGTCAAAATACTACAAGAAATTCAATACATTATAAACGATTTTGACTAAATTAACACCTGCCATAGTGCAAATAAAACATATGAGACCAATTTTCATCCTATTACTAAACCAGTTATGTTTATTTAACCGTAGAATAAAATTAGAGTGTTTATATTAAAACATCTATTTCTCACCTTGGATTATCTACAAATTTCTCAATCAGCATTGCATCATCATTGAAAGACTTCTTTGCTTCTCTCCTAGCTGATTCTAGTTGGTCCAGAAACTCCTTTTCTGAATGAGCAATTCTCATGCCCTAGAATACAAAAACCAGCATCTCTAAATGTCTAAAAATATGGTACACAATAAAAATCCTTGTTGCACACAACAGGTACATGACTAAAACAGCAAGAAATGAGCTTAACGATAACACTTTTCCCTTCTTTCTTAAACTTTAGCAAAATTGTGTATCAACTTCCAATAAGATAAGCCTACTAAGTCCCACTGAAAGTGCCATTAGAAGTGTAAAAAATAGATATTATTATTCCATTGATACGGATGAGTACAAAATTCGATTTTATTCTTAAATATCACAGAAATTTTCCAAGACTGTCAGAGAAAAACCGATTTCAATAAAAAATAAATGTGGCCACTTTGGAAATAACTAGAATTCTCTATCATGCCATTTTTATAGAAATTTATTTCAGAGTAAAATCAGATTTAGACAGGGAATTCACCATACATTAAAAAGTGTCTAGACACCAAATACTAAAATGGTATTTCTAACCACTTCTTATGCAACATTTAAAACTGTTAGCAAAAAAAGTCACAGAAGCTATCACAAAGTAACAATTTAAAGTCATCTAGTTTCACACAAAGAAATCCGTAAGACATCTTTTCTGCTTCTGTGAGTTACTGGAGATCCACTGAAACAAACAAAACTCTTCCAATTTATACCAGCTAATTATCTTGTGCCTGACAGCACAACAAATGGAAATGAGACTTCATAGTGCTAGAATGGACATTAATAATAAATTTTAACCAAAAGTAGTTTTCCAGTTTCTTTGTTTTCAAAGATTTATTTTAGAATATTCAGTTACAGATACCAAGACATAACAACTTTACACCATGCGATTAAACAGATTAGTTCCCTTACCTTTCCTCCACCTCCGCGAACAGCTTTAATCATTACTGGATATCCTATTCTCTTGGCATGTTCCTTTAGACAGGCATCTGATTGATCTTCTCCATGATAACCTTCAACAACAGGAACGCCAGCAGCAGACATTATAGCTTTGGAAGTGCTTTGACAGAATAGTTTTATGTTTAGAATGATAATAATATTTTTTTCTTACTTTAAGCTCCAAACCTGTGTATGTTCCCAACGTTAATTCTCCCCACAAAAGTAGTTCCACTGACCTCAACGGGACTACTTACATAAGTGGGTTACATACGATTTGATTGTAATTAATCAAATGTTTCAAATAGGGATTTTTTTTTCTCCAAGCCCTCCACATAAAAGTGGTAGTCAGTTTCAGGCTTACTGACTATCGTTTGACCCACGTTATGGAGGCCAAAACCTAACATCTTCAAATTATAACACTGTATCCTGCCAAAACCGTATTTAAAGTTGTACAAAGGCAAAACTCTTTTAATGATACAGGCTGGATTACAACACATAAAACACTCAACCGTAACAACTATAACTTCAAATATGCATGCAAAACTAGTTAAATTACAGAGGTAATTCACTCTCACATTAGAAAGTGATAAAAAATTAATTTTCTGAAATTAATATTGCACAGTTCATGTGTTGGCAATAACCTTATTTCGATATTCTTGATTTATACTTCATATCCTTGGAAACATCTATTTGATCTAAGTAACTAAGAATAAGATGCTCTGTGATAAACAACACTTATCACGCCAATTTATATGAGCCACAATAACCCCTGATGATATGGTGTTTCTTTTCCACCGTTCTTTTGACCAATATACAACACATCCAATATGACTGCCGAACCCTTACCTATGTAACTCTGCAATGCCCCCATTCTGGAAAACTAGAATCGGTTAGATTTTTAATTATCAAAATCCTAATAACTGAACGATTGTGATTGTTTCTATAGGAATCCCACATGTATAAACCTGGAGCTTATTCCTTTGAAGAAAGCCATAAAAATAAAAGACAGGGAACACTGACAGAATAAAACAATTATGGAGCAACTGGTCATTTGTTAACAAAATTAGCTTTGCCAAACTGTAAATTGCATAACCAAGTAACAAATCAGAAGTAGATACCTCTTAATACCCATATCTCTGATAGCAGATGAAGGCGGACCTACGAAGATGATTCCCTCTTGCTTGCACAACTCTGCAAACTCTGTGTTTTCTGAGAGGAAACCATAACCTGGATGAATAGCCTAAAATAGAATAATGTTACCAGCCTATTTTTATATCAGTTTAGCTTAGAAAACCCTGAAACTTCAGTAGAGTGCCAAGGAAACACATGATGGAAACACCATGGATAAAAATAAAGAACTAAAGAGCATGGAAGTAACGGAAGATTTAAGGGCATGATCTACTTACCTGTGCTGCTGAGACCTTGGCCACCTGCATTATTTTCTCCATGGCCAAGTAACTCTGCTGTGAGGGTGCTGGACCAATGCAATATGCTTCATCTGCCTGTAACAAAAAAAATACATATAATACAGACTGTTTATTAGATAACAAAAAGCAAATTTAACTAAATTTCTGAGCTAATTGTATTGTTTATCAGACTGCTAGCATGCAACAGTTGAAATCACTGCCTCTCTTCATGGAGAGACTCAACTGGGTGAAACAAATTCTGACTTTCTTCCCAAAATCAGAGTCCATTCTCTAACCCCCAGTGGCTACTCTGGAGTTAGAGAGCCAAACTTCAATGCACTTCCTGTAAAGTTGTCAGGTGCTGAGACAGAGACTAGGCAAACTTTTCATTGATTCAAGGAAAACTTGGAAGTAACTCTACAGAGGTGAAAATCAACTGCATTAGCACACACATCTACTTTCACATTGAACTTATTAATGAGAACTATTGTTGTGAATGAACATTAATCACAAACTTAAGGAATATACTTCACCATCGCTACATGCATGGAATTCCTGTCTGCTTCACTATAAACTGCTACAGATTTCACACCCATTTTCTTTGCTGTTCGCATCACTCTGCATGCAATTTCTCCACGGTTTGCAATAAGAATCTTCCCTATGTTGTGACCTCCTGTTTAAAAGGATGAAGCACAGTAAGCAATTTTAAAAAGAAATATATCCTTAAAAACATTCCTGGAAGTAAAGCGATTTTAAAATTCAGATTTATTTTTCATCATTTATAGGGTTTATGCATTTCTTCCAATAATGAAAAAACACGTGCTTCACCCAAAAGCATTTCCATGCTAGTCTTGGAATTTTTTTCCTTAGAGTCCTTATGCAGAAGTATGTTTAATTTAAGTCTTTTCTTCTTTTTAGCATTCAAGAAATATATTCTAATCCTAAAACAACACTTAAACATAAAAGTTGATGCTTATATTTCTACTGTGTACTTTCTGGACCAACTAGGAAACAATTAACACCTGCCCCCCAACAGAAATGATTCACATTTCTTTGAAGAGCACTATTCCCCATTGATACACAGACACAAAGAAATAACAAGGTATAAAGTTTTTTGTTGGTTTGGGTTTTTTTCCAAAGTCACTTACAAGCTTCTATTAAATCTCATGACAGCAGTTAACATGATAGAAATATAAGGCCAGCACAGCCAGAGACTTCACAGGCAGAACTAAATAGCTTAAAATTAACTAATAAAATGGAAATATATCTCTGAATTCTAAAACATATCTTTTTAAACAACATGACAGCAGAGTCAGTTTAATCATCTTGCCAAATATTTTTTAACTTTCCTTCATATATTGTTTAAATACCATTATGCCTAAAAAACAATTCTCTCAGACTTTGCAATGTTTGTATCGGAAAAGGAGTCAGAGGAAAACATTACAAAAATAAACAATTTGCATTAAGTTGAATATACCTAAATATGACAGATAAAATTATTCAAAATGTTGTTTACACATTAAAGATTATTTCTGTTAGGTCAGCTACAGACTACTGTTTTCAAAAACTATAAAAATATTGAATATTTATTTTTAAAACCCTACAGTTTTTCAGCAACTAATGGTCTAAAACTAACTAAAAGGATCCACATTGCACAAGCAATTAAACCTAGTAGCTAAAGAAGTTAGAGTTCATACCTATCGTTGAGGCCCATTTCACAAATCTCTGTACTTGGTTCCATTGCCTGTACAGTTATAAACACACAGAAGTGTTACAAAAGCATATGAAGAAGTGGCAACTGAGCTACTTTTATTTTCAGGTGAGAGGAGGACAGCACTAAAACAGCTCTGAAGCTTTTGACACAACTATTTACACAGAACATATTCAAGTACAACAAGGAAGGTTGTACAAACTTCACCAGGCCTCTCCTTACGTGTTTTCATTTAGACACAAGAGAAATTATCCCCTTGCTTTTTTAGCAACATTCAAATTGCAACAGTCAACATATTTATTTAAAAAAAAAAAAACAAACAACTCTTAGTGGACGAAACAGCCAACGTCTGGCATTTATTACAGAGAAGGCAACTCAAAGTATTCAGGAAAGAACACATGAACAACCACAAAACAGAAAACCTTAAACAGGAAACAGGAATTGTTTGTATAGAGAAAAGGTGCAAGAGAGAAGAATGTAAAAGATAGCAAGAAGGAAGAGCTATGAACAATTTCAGAAATGAAAAGTTAAACCTCACACGACTAATACTAAAGAAATCAGATAGCAAAAGCTAAGTGGCTGGAAGAAACTGTATAAGTAAACTATTGGAACTGTTTTAATTAACATATAAATCAACTTTGGAATCTTGGATCAACTCCAGCAACTCTTAAACGATACCAGACAAAAAGATACGTGTCCTTGACACCACACAACCAAAACCTCAGTTTCAACAGCGAGAGGGGAAACTACTGCATTTCCTAAACTTCTAATAAACAGCTGTCACGGTCACCAATTCCTTCTGCACAGGATTACAGCCAGCGATGGGTACCAAACCCCGAGCACCCAGGACAGTTTCATGGAATCTGTACCAACCGCTAAAACTATGCTTCAAACTCTTGGTGGGTTTTTTTTGCTCTTTCTTTCCACAGAGGAGCCCGGGGTAATTGTATTTCCCCCACACACACACACGGGCGGCACCGAGCAGCGGGGCCGGACGGCGGCCCAGCTCCCTCGCTCCTCCCGAGGCGCAGAGCCGCCTCCCCCTTCCTCCCTCGGGCAGCCCGGCTCCAGGCTTGGCTTTGGGAAGCCTC